GTGGCCGAAAGGGGCACTGCCCACCCGTCCTGGGTGGCAAAGACGGGCCCCGCCCACGCATATACTTGGTGACCGCGAGGGCACGTTCCCGCCCGGGGGGGGGGGGGGGGGGCGGCGCGTTGCCCCCGGCGGCGCGCTTAGGGCCCCCAGCCTGCGCGCGGTTGCCACGCGGAAATAAGGGGACGGGAACCACTCCGCCAGCTTCGTGGGAAGCTGCATCCAGAGCGCTCCCGCGCGGGGCCTCCCAGAGGACAGCAAGCCTTCCTTTCGCTCCTGGCCCAGCTCCTGCCGCAGCCGGACGGCGCGCGCGGCGCCCAGGTGCCGGAAGATGCGGCTGGCCCACCGCCCGGGCGCCCTGGCGGGGGCGCCGCCCGGCGACGGCAGCGGCAGAGAGGCCTCTGGGGGCAGCTTCGGCCCGCCCAGGCCATCAACAGCAACGTCCTTGGACCACGGGCCCCCGCTGCACGCGGCCCGGGCGACGCCCGTGAACTTCGCGCCGCCCTGGAGGCCCGCGACGACGCCAGCGCCGTCGAGGCGCTGCCGGGCCGCGAGATCGGCCTCGCCAGAACGCGACGCGCGCCCTAGCCCGAGCGAGGAAGCGATCATCGGGTCACGGCAATGCGTGGAGCACCACGCTGCCCACAGGGCTGCGTCAGCTCCGGCGCCCTCGCCCTTGCGGCGCAGACCCAAGCCCCCGAAGGCGCCGCAGAGGCGAATCTGTCGCGGCGCGCCTTCGCCCAGCCGCCGGGCGACCACCGCGCGCTGCAGCGCCTCCCCCACCGCGGCGCCTCCTCCACCGCTCGCAGGCTCAGCCGCTGCGCCCATCACCTTAGATGGTGCCAGCCGCGCGTCGTAAGCAAGAGCGCGAGCGACGGATTTGGGCAGAAGCGCCCACGCCAGGTGGACAGCTGTGCCAGTGGGCTGTGCGGCCGCGAACTCCTCCACGCGCCGCGCCAGCGCGGCCGCCTTGCGGGCCCTTGCGCGAGCGGGGCCAAGCAATTGCCCGACGCGCCCGACCTCGGCAACGAGCTCACCCTGCACAGCCCCGCCAGGGAGCTCCAAGCCACCCTGGGCACGTGACAGGAGAGCTGCCAGGCGCCTCAGATGCTGCGCAGCGTGGCCAGACTCGGGATCATCGCAGCTCGGCGCCCAGAACTTGCACTCGCGGTTCTGGACGCGGTGGCCTCCCTCTGCGCAAGAGCGCCTTGGAGCACGGGCCAGCTGTCCGCGAAGCGCGCTGCTTTGGAGAAGCGGTGCGCGTCGTCCTGGCGCCCAACTGTGGGCGCCCGAACTATCCGGGGCAACTCGGGCCCGGGGTAACTCGGGTTTGGATTCCCGAAAAAAGAACCCGAGTTAGCCCTGACCCGAGTTACCCCTGATGATTCGGGGCTCTGGACGCGCGAATTATCCGGGGCAACTCGGGCCCGGGGCAACTCGGGTTCAGAATCCCGAAAAACGAACCCGAGTTAGCCCTGACCCGAGTTACCCCTGATGATTCGGGGCTCTAACAACCCGGCCCGCGGCGCCCAGCTCCGGCACGGCCTCCAGGCCGCCCTCAAGGCCCATCGCGAACATGACGCATGAGGCGCGCGCCCTGCCGCCCGCCCCGCGCGGCCCAGGAGCGGCGCCAGCGGCCGCCAACGCGCTGCCAGACCGCCGCGCGGCCTGTCCGCCACTGCGCCGCTGCCAGACCTGCTATTGCAGGGAGGCGCCCGCGGCGTCCGCGCAGGCAGCTCGACCGAAGGCGCGGCCACGCGCGTTCTCCAAGTCGACGCACGCGGCCAAGAACGGGTCGCCCTCCGGCACTGACGCGGCCTGGACGAGCTCAGCCCAACTGCGGGCAAGGTACACTATGAGCGGCGCCCCGTCCGGCGCGCCGCACCCCAGCTGACGCGGCTCCAGCGCGGCGAGCACGGGCGCGGATTCCTCGTCGATGAACGCGCCCTCCACGGGCTTCATGAGCACCTCGACGCACGCGATCGGCCGCAACTTGCGCCGCGCCGGCTGGCCCGGCCCCGCGCGCCCCCAGTCGCAGCCAACGGGCGCATTGCAGGCAGCCGTCCAAAGCTCGATGGTGGCGCCCTGCGCCCTGCCCTGCTTCCAGACCTGGGCCCGCCGAGCCAGCGCCTTAATGCCGCCCTCCACGGGGCCGACATTCTTGAGGAATGAGTTCCGCCATGCGCTTGGGCCGCGCTGGGCGGCCTCGCGCAGGGCGCGAAGCTTCCGCCGAATGGTGCGGAACTTCGGGGCCACAGCCTTTCCCGCGCCCTTGAGCGCCCGCTTGCACTCGGCCTCGACCACGTGCAACTCGTCGCCGTCGACTGCCTCCGCGACGAGCTCGTCGACGCGGACGGCGCTGGCCTCCGCGAGAGGCGCGCCGGCGGCGCCAGCGAGGAATGCCTTTGCGGCCCGGACTGCGCCAACACTCTGGTTCCCAGCAGCCTTCCGGAAGGCCTCCTCGTCGCTGAGGGGCTGCCCCGGGAGCTCCACGCCACGCCTGGCGGCAGCGCGACTCGTGGCAGCACGCAGCTCGCCGACGCATTCCTCCAGCAACAATCGCCAATCGCCCCGCTCCGCCACTTGCAGGCGAGACCTGGCCATGGCGGCGCAGGAAAAAACCCGGGCGTCAGCGGGGCCGGGCGGAGGCTCAGACTCCAGACTCTCCTCTCGTATCTGGCGCTGACGGCGCACTGCTGTTGCTGCTAACTTAATGTCTGCTGACATTGCAATTGTTTAATCGGACTAAAAGGAGACCATCCTGCTGCGCGGCGGCGAGGACTACCCCCGTCGCAACTTGCGGGCTGGGTTTAAGGCCCCTGCGGGTCGTGGGCGTTCCCCATCGGGGCAGAGGCCCCCGCGCGTCATGGCCCACCAGGACATCGAAGCCCTTCCCGCGGGCAGCGAGGCACGAAGGCTGGCGAAGGCAACGACGCCGCAGATCGCCGGCGGCGCAGCGAGGAGCCCAGCCAAGCGAAGATGAGAAGCGCAGTTTTTTCAGAGGACAAGAAATATATCACGAATGTGGCACAGGCCCTGGGAGAGTGGCCTGCGATCGCCACCGAGCGCAACAAGGGCGCCCCTCGGCCTCGTCGTCGACGTCGGTCCAGTCTTCTCCCCCTTCGACCCCTGAGCCCCATGTTGCCCAGAGAGAGCCTCGGAGGGTCCACAACTGAGCGATGATGTTTGGCAAATGGCGCTGTATACTGTGTAGGATTCAGACCCGAACGATCAAGCAGAGAGTTGCGCTCGAGGCCACACAATGCCCCGGCCATTGCAAGCAGCTGTCTGATCTTGTGCACGATAGCAAAAGCCATGACCTGTTCTATTACGAACACCTCGATCACCCAACGAGTATCTTGGTTTGCCATAAGTGCGGCTCCTACTCTGAAGGGTTGGGTCGAGGGCTCACTGGAGCTTGCAGCACTCGAGTGGCTCGCCAAGGCGCGGCCGCACAGCTTGTTCGCGTCCATGAAGGGCGGGATCCGAAGGGCTCAAGGATTTCCCCGATCGGTTTCCCGACCCCAGCGATCCCACTGGCTACATTGGCCAGAGAAGAACAGGCTAAAGTCAGTGGGCAGTTTGAAGCTCAAGAGCCCGATAGCCCACACCAGGGGCGAGGCCTGCCACCGTCGTGGCGTTCCTTAAACCAGGGGTAAGCGGGCCTCGTCGTCCTGGCGTCGCCTCGTGATTTCTTGTGTGTGTGCGTGTGTGCGCGCATCTACACGCGTGTCAGGCACCCCGACTAAGGGGGAAAGAGCGCTGGAGTACGCACCCCTCTGCGGCGATGGTCGCACAGATGGCCATTCTCCTGCGGGTGGGTTGGGCACGGGCGTGGGCTTGGTTTAACCAGTCCACCCCGACAGTCGCTCGCCCCCCATTTTCAGCGATAGCCCGACGCTCACTGCGGGTTCGATCTGGGGTTTTGTGTCGTCCTGGCTGGCGGTGCTGGTGACACGCAGCCAGCCCTGGAACTCGAGCCGAGGGGTTCCGTCAATCAAATGATGCTGGCCGTCCTGTTCACCGAAACGTGTTGTTTGGCGTTCCCCTGTTGCACGGCCGTGGAATGATGGCTCCCTCTGCGGCGTCAGGGGGCCGCCCCCTTGGGGTCTGGGCACGGGGGTGGACTTGGATTGCCAGCCCACCCCGACCGATGCTCAGCCCCACCCCTCCCCCTTGCCCATGTGGGCAGAGGAAGGGAAGAGCAGTTGTGGCTAGGTGTGCGTGCGCCACATCGGGGCCCTTCGCCCTCGTTCAGCGTCGGCCGTCTCTGTGGCCAGTTGGTTCACCCGCGGCCGCAGTGGAGAACACAAGTGGCCCAATGCCACGAGGTTTCGGATTAGGGTCGGGTCGGCCAACCCTTCGCCTCCCTCATTAGCCTTTTGATTGTCCTCCCTCCTCCCTCCTCCTCCTCCTCCTCCTCCTCCTCCTCCTCCTCCTCCAATCCTCCAACTCCAACTCCACCTCCTCCTCCTCCTCCTCCTCCTCCTCCTCCTCCTCCTCCTCCTCATATCCTCCCCCATCCTCCTCCTCATATCTGCATCCTCCTCCTCCCATCCTCCCATCCTCCCATCCTCCTCCTCCTCCTCCTCCCTCCTCCTCATCCGCCTCCTCCTACTCCTCCTCCTCCTCCTCCTCTCCTCCTCCTCCTATCCTCCGCTTGCTCCTGCTCCTGCTCTCCTGCTGCTCCTCCTCCGCCTCCTCCTCTTCTTCTTCTTCTTATTCTTCTTCTTTTTCCTCCTCCTCATCAGCATCATCATCAGCATCATCATCAGCATCATCATCATCATCATCCTCATTTCATCATCATCATCATCAGCAGCATCATCATCATCAGCATCATCATCATCATCAGCATCATCATCAGCATCAGCATCATCATCATCATCAGCATCATCATCATCACCATCATCATCATAACTTCCTCCTCCTCCTCTTCCTCCTCCTCCTTTTCCTCCTCCCTCCTCCATCCGCCCTCCACCCCATAACATAAGAGGGCCCGC